CAATCCACCATTCTTTGTATCACCTGTAAACTTACTGATTAACACTCTTACATTCAAGTCTAAATCATTTATATAAACCACAAACTGCAAGGGTCCCAACACTGACACCTGTGGGACCTCACTGGACAGACGTCCAGTCAGAGAAACACCCCTTGACTATCATCCTCTGTTTCCTGCCACTCGGTCAATTATGGATCTAAATTGCCAAATTTCCTTGGATACCTTGGGCTCTTACTTTTGCTATCAGTTTCCTATGCAAGACATTATCCAAAGCCTCGCCAAAGTCCCAATAGACTACATCAAAAGCATTGCGCTCATCTACACACCTGTTCACCTCTTCCAAAAATTGAAACAATTTTTGTCAGGCATGATCTACTCTTAACAAAACTACGCTGACTGTTCTTGATTAATCCCTGCCTTTCTAGTTGCAAATTATATTCTGTCCCTCAGAATTGTTTCCAATAGTTTCCCTGTCAGTAAGGTGGCTGATTGTGCCACCCTGTGACATCATTGTGCAAGTTCCTGTATTCACAACATAGTAAAATTGAAATATTCATTAATCCTCAAAATTGACTTCATTGGTTCCTAACCAGATGTTTTGAAAAACCAGTACCAGATTTTGTGAATAACTGATACCAGGCACCCGGTTTATAGCTTAAACAAAAGAATTAAGAATTTATTAGCAGCACAGTAACTTTAACAGAGCAAAATTAAAAACAAGGTAATCTAATTACTGTTTAAGATTTAAACTCAAACCTTTTTAATTCTAGCCCCCACTCTCACACAAAGACAGACAGACAAACAGGCACAGTTAAGGGATAAATCAAAAGGGAAAAATAAATGAGATGTAACTGGCCAGTTCAATTGAGTAGTCTTCATGATTCATAACATCACCAGCATATGGAATTATGTATTGCTTGGTTTCTGAAAACACTGATGTATGCAGATAGTTTCCAGTAGGCTCTGAGGAATAATAATTTAGTTCTTATAACTGAGATTCTACTAACTTATCTCTCAATGATCTGATAATAAGAGGACAACCAGTAGCAACCAAACCTCTGTCCTGTAGCTTTCACGGGTACAATCCTTCCGACCTAAACACAGCTCATAAAACTAGTTCAAACTCTGGTCTGACTCTGCAAGACTGACTGTCTCTTCAAGAGGTCCTAGGTAATATTCAGCATCTGCCATCCACTTAAGCATTAGGTCTCACCGGAGTCAACTTGTTAGCAAGAAACAAGCTGCAATTAACTTTCAGGCCTGGCCTCAATAAACAAATAACAGCTTGTTTATTCTTTTTTTTAAGCAGAAGCCGTTGCACACAGTCCAAAGGTTACCTTTAAAAAGGTAATCACTAAGTTACAGATGATACAAAAAAAATTGTGGAATGGTAAACAGTGAAGAGGATAGCCTTAGATTGCAGGAGGATATACAGAGCTCTTCGCTCACAGTTCATAGCTCCAAACCAAAAATTGATTTGGAAATAAATGAAAAAATCAGTGAGAGTTCCAACACTACAGCAAGGAAACTATCATGAGCCCAGTTAATTGGAATAGTAAAGAGCTGAGTTATGAGATGTAACTTCTCTGGACTCGAGATTCCATAATGGATAGTGAAGGGAAGCAGGTTGAAACTTTGTTTTAATGAGAATTGTGAGAATCATTCTAACTACTAAGTATATTTAAATACTTGGTTTGTTAATTATCACTTATCACTTCTCCACAGTTCGCACAGTGGGAATAAATATTTCCTGTGCATATTAAATTGATAATGAGGATAGAAACTATTTTGTCACCAAACATGGACTTGCTCTTTGCTTATGTAATCAAAGCTGAAATGATTTACAAACAACAATCAGTTTTACTATTGTTGCTAAATTCATAGGCTATTATGTGACACATTGGACATGATTTTCTGTCCCCAAGAAAGCTATAATAGTGACGAGCTAATTGGGCAAAAGTCCAAAAATTAAATTTTTTGTTGTTCATTCATGGGATGAGAAGCATTTATTATCCATCCCTCGATGCCCTTGAGAAGATAGTGGGGAGTGGAATAGCTTCAGTTTGCTTATCATGCTATACCCATAATAATGTTCAAAAGTGACTTCCAGGATTTTGAACCAGTGATAGTAAAGGAACAGTAATATATTTCAAAGTCAGGATGGCGAGTGGCTTGGAGGAGAACTTGTAGGTGATGTGGTTCCCATATGTCTGTTAGCCTTGTCTTTCTAGTTATGAAGTTTTACAATTCTAAAAGAGGCCCTTATCTATTGTAATCTAATTTCCATCACTTGGCCTGTAACCTTGTATGCTGTAGCATTTTAAGTAATCATCTAAATACTTCTTAAATATTTTGAGTGTTTCTGCCTCTACCACCCTTTCAGGCAGTGAGTTTCAAACAAATCTGTGCCCCCTGGTTATTCATGCCTGTACTAGGAGAAAATGTTTCTTCCGCTTTACCATGTCTATGTCCCTCATAATTTTGTAAACTCAATGAGGGCATCCCTCAGCCTCCTCTTCATTAAGGAAAACAACCCCAACCTTCTCTTGGCTGAAAAGTTTTAGCCCAGGAAACTTCCTGGTGAAGTTCATCTGCACCTTCTTTATTGCAATCACAGCCTTCCTACAATGCACAAACAAAGCTGCAAACAGTACTCTAGCTGTGGTTTAACTAACATTTTATACAATTCAACCTCTCTGCTGTTAAAAACAAATATCCCCCATGCCTTCGTAACCATCTTTTCCTGGAACAGCAATGCACATTACAAACAATAAGGGACACAGCACCATGCACAGCAGTATGCCATTGGGTGCAGGTTTCTAGTTTCAAAAACAACATTTGATAGTAACCCTCTGCCTCCTGACATGAAGCCACTTTTGAATCAAATTTGCCAAATTCCCCTGATCCCCTTGATCAGTTTCCCATGTGACGGTACATCAATTGCACAACCCTTATGTACACACAAATTAAATCAAAATCTCCTACTAACAAAGCAATGCTCATTATCCTTGATTAATCCTTGTCTCTGTAAGTGGAGGTTTATTTTATTCCTCAGATTTTTTTCCAATGGTTTTTCTATCACTGATGTTAGATTTACTTGCCTGTGGTTTTGTGGTTCATCCTAATACCATTCTTGAATAATAGATGGAACACATGCTGTTCAGGACTTGGCCAGGTGCAAGACTTACCTCTGTGAAGGCATAACCTGGAGCTTCAAGAGCAGAGATGTCTGGGCTAAAGCATGTCTTTACTAAGACTGGACTTTTATTTACTGTTCTCACAGATCTGCTGAAAGCAAAAGAAGCATGGCACAGATCAACCAAGGAAAGTCATGGCAATAGATCTGAATTTTTCAGTACACTGAGATCTGTACAGTGCCCCCTAGAGAAGAGAATTAGGGGTGAACCCATCCGTGCTCCGATGGGTCTGGTCTAACACCCAAGACAAGATTTCCACCCTTATTTGGGGTGACTGACTGCCCCCAGCAAGGCAGGTTTCATGGGGAATGCGTTAGATAGGCTGATGCATGGGCAGAATAAAAAGGAGAATATAATGGGAGAATAATATGGGATCCCAGAGGCCAGTTAAGGATGCAACTCCACCGCTACCTCCACCTTGCCTGCCACCATCCAGCATATTGAAAGATACCAAACTGAATATTTGGTGTGGTGGTTAAATTCCAATGGCAACTGGATAAACTGTTTAAAGGCCTTAGTTGGCTCAAAGACAGGCAGGCCTCACAATGGCTTACCAGCACCGATAAATTGAGATAGTTCAGAGCTGGCGGGTTGGTGGCGGGCATGTTGTCCATGGTGGTATAGGTGCTATTCCCTCCCCACATGTGTTGGTCACAAAATCCAGACTACAGGCATAGAAGAATAGCCCTTGAAAGTGTTTGCATGTCTTGTCCTATCATGATTAAATTAACTAAAAATGGTCTTTTCACCAATTAAGTTAATAATGATTATTTATAGCCTAACATAATTATCAACAAATAGAGTCATAAAGTCATACAGCACCATACAGACCCTTCGGTCCAACCAGTCCATGCCATACATAATCCCACACTGAACTAGACCCACCTGCTCCTACGCTCCAGTAAAAAAAAGTCCCAGTCTATCCAGCCTTTCTTTTTAACACAAATCTTCCATACCCGGCAACATCCTGGTAAATCGCTTCTGAACCTTCTCCAGCTTGATAATATCCTTCCTATAACTGGTGAACCAAAACTAGACACAGTATTCCAGAAGAGGCCTTACCAATATCCTGTACACCCTCAACTTGACTTCCCCATTCTTATACTCAAAGGACTGAACAATGAAGGCAAGCTTGCCAAACACCTTTTTAACCATCCTGTCTATATGTGATGCAAACTGCAAAGGACTATATACCTGCACCCCGATGTCCTTCTGTTCTAAAATACTACCCAAGGCCCTACCATTAATTGTATAAGCCCTACCCTTGTTTGTTGTACCAAAATGCAATACCTCACCTTTATCTGGATTGAACTCCATCTGCTATTTTTCAGCCTATTGACCTGTTTGATCAAGAGCTCTTTGTAATCTTAGAAAACCTTCTTCACTGTCTACTCTGCCATCAATTTTGGTGTTGTCTGCAAACTTACTAACCATGCCTTCTATATTCTCCTCCAAATCATTTATACATTAATGACAAATGAAAGAGGACCCAGAACCAATCCCTGTGGAGCACCGCTGGTCACAGGCCTCCAGTCCAAAAAGCAACCCACCACCATTACTCTGCTCTTGCCGTTAAACCAATTATGATTCCAATTGGCAAGCTCACCCTGAATCCCCTGTGACCTAACTTTACTAATTAGTCTACTGTGTGGAATCTTGTCAAAGCTTTATTGAACCCAGGATGCTTGAGACTGTTGATGACACCCCTCTCAAGAAGGGACTTATGTCCACGAATGTACTCTCATCTCCCAAACTTATATGCTTAGTTACCTCAGCACAATTGTTGTCTTCTCTGCATCCCAGCATGCTGCTTCCAATTCCCACAATTGCCGGTATAAATTGATGGAAGGCAACTGCTATCTTGGCAAAGCCTTCTGCCCTGGCTGCAGCAATGACCTTGTCATGGGGAAGCAAAATGAAGCCATGTGATTTGTTACAAACTGCATCAGTAACAGCCTTCCTATGTTTGAAGGTTGAGGATAAATAGATCTCAAAAAGGTACGCAGTAGATCCTTGGAAATAGGCAGCTGTCACTTGTTGGCCACTGGGTTTGGATAGCCACCAACCCCTTTAGGTTGCAAATTCCTCTCCTGCAGGTGCCAGTTCTGTGACTGTGCCCAGGATCCTTAGTCTGCAGTGACAGGGTATTTTGCTCAGCTGGAGAAAACTGCATCGAGGACAATAAACTCTGGCCTCCTATGGAGAACCCTTGGAAGCAGTTCATTAGGTCCTGACAGCTTGTCTGCCTTTGGTCCCATAAATTTGTAAGGTACTTTGTCCCTCATGGTAGAGACAGTTGCAAGACCTTTCCTTCAATTAGGCACTTGTCTATATGGTATCTTTGGGATATTTACAGTATCTTCTACCATGAAGACCAATGCAAAATATTGGTTCAAATTATCTGCCATTTCCATATTCCACATTAACAATCCTGCAGTTGCTTCCTCCAACAGTCCCACACTGAATTTAGCTACTCTCTTTTTATATACACACAAAATCATTTGCTGTTTGTTTTTATGTTTCTTACCAATTCATTTTCAGTATCAATTCCTATTTATTAACTTTTTAGACATCTGCTGCAGGCTCCAATAACATTCCTATCCTCTGGCCTACTACTAGTTTTCATTGCTTTGTATGCATTGTTTTTGCTTGGATATGCTTCTTGGGTGGTTCATTCTTATCATCGAGTCTTCCTTTTTGATCAGAATAAATTTTTGCTGAGCATTGTGAAATATCTGCTTACAAGACCGCTACTGCTCATCTGCAGATCTTCTCCTTAGTTTATTTTCCCAGCCTGTTTTAGACAACCTTTTCTTCCTACTTCTGTAATCTTCAAACTTAATTTCAAATCCTGCCATGTTGTAATTGTCATCCCTGCAGAACCATTAACTATAAGATCTCTTATTATTCCTACTCTATTACAAATTATTCGATCTAAAATAGCCTATTCCCAGGTAGCTTCTGCAACATACTGCAACAATCCTTGATGTACTGTTCCATTTTACACTTGCTGTTCTGATTTGTCCAGTCAATATTTAGATTAAAATTGTGATGACAATTGTATGCCCTTCTTACATGACTCCATTATTTTCTGATTTATACACTGTCCTGCAGTGAAACAAATCCTCAGGGGCCAATAGACAATTCCCACCATGACTTCGTTTCCTTGCCATTCCTTATTCCCATCCAAACCAATTCCACATCATGATCAATTGCACCAAAATCACTATTCAATACCACACTGATGTCTCCCTTTATCAACAAAGCTATCCGTCTGCTTTTTTCTTTTAGCCTTGTCTTCCAGAGTTTGGAATACCCTTGAGTATTGAGTTCTAGTACTGATCACCCTGCAACCATGTCACTGTAATAGCTATAAAGTTGTATTTATTTATTATTATTTCTGGCATCAACTTATCTGCCGTGTTACAAATGCTACATGCATTCAGATAAAAAGCCTTAAGGTTTGACTTTTTACCATTATTACTTAATTTGGTTCCAGTATCTGCTGCGTTCTTCTGGTCATATTTTCATTACCTTCCAGTCACACTTTGATTCTTGTTTGCCTCTTCACTACCCTATACTTCTGCTCTCTTGCTTCTTTTTGATGTTTTAAACTTCCTTTCAATTGAACCCTCTCCCCACACCATCCAACTAATGAGATTAAGGCCCTATTTACAACCCTAATTGTAGATTGGCTAAGACTCTTTCTCTTACCCCAGTACACGTGGCAGTGCCCCATGAATTGGAACTCATTTCTCTGATGCCAATATATGAGCTGCACATTAGCCTCTTTATTCTAAATACAGATGTGCTGCAACATGTCACATGCCCAGCCATCACATGTTATCTCTTTTAGAAGTTAATTTCTTAACTGTACTGTTCAGCTGCAATTTTGTCTTCTGAGTTAAACCCACCTGGTCAATCAAAAGAGACCTGGAAGAAATGCCCACCAATCACCTCCCTGTATTTTGGATTGCCTTTTTGAATTATAGGCCACAGGGACACTTTTAAGGTTGCCTGTGATTACTTCTGCTTCATGGAGATGACTATGATAAATTTGTAACAGTATGGTCAGTATTGCTTGTGACCAGAATTTGTATCCAACATAGTCAGTCACAGGGTATGAAAACAAATTATAAGTTGAGTGGGAAAATATGAAATTGTCTATTTTGACAGAAAGAATTTTAAAAAGTATATTACCTAATTTGTGACAGGTTGCAATGCTCAGAGATTGGGGAGAATAGGAAATTGCACGTAAGTGAAGTAGTATTTGATACTACTAAGATGTAATTATTTGCAAATAGTATGCTCACTATAAAATTCTCAACTCAGTATTAGAATCTTGTGTAGAAAGTCAGACATTTTTTTCTCAGGATCCAGAATCTCATTTTCTAAATCTCAACAAATTTTCCCAATTGACTGTCCATTGCTGACATTGTTGAGAGACTGAGAGAATTTCACTATTTGTAAATCATACACCATAGCACCTAATCTCTCTGCATTGCAATTTCTCAGTTATTCTCCATTTAAGTAGTGCACTGCTTTTTCATCTACGCTGCCAAAGTGAATTAATTCACATTTTCCCACATTACAGTTCATCTTCCAGATTTTTGCCCATTCACTCAACCTACCTACCAACCTAATTGTTCTATAATTGCTGCCTTACTGCATTTTCAAATAAACACATATATGTACTACATTCCAATCTGATAGAACTCTTCATGAAGTGAGGGAAGTTTGGAAAATTAAAATAGACCCACGTACGAGCTCATTAGCATGTATCAACTATAGTGAATACAACAGCAACGTATTTGTTCATCTTATCTACTATTTCCTTTTATTTATTATTAACGCACATTCTAACTCTTTGGAAGATCAACACTCATCTTATTTACTCCCTTCCCTTTTAAATATCTGTAAATATTATTGCTATCCATTTTGACATTTCAGTTTTTCTCTCACCTTTTTTCTCCTGATTAATATTTTAGTCATTCTTGGCCATTCCTTCGCATTATGGCTAAGAATCTGATCTGCCACTCATCTCTGTGCAGCTATATGAAGTAACTTCACTTAATGGTTGTGAATATTTGGAATTCTCTACCCAATAGGTTTGTAGATTCTCCACTGTTGAATTCATTAAAGGCTGGGATGGTAAGACTTTTGGTTTCTGAGTGAATCAAGGAATAAATGGAATGGGTGAGAAAGTGGAATTGAATCCCAAGATTGTATTGAATGGCAGCAGATCAAATTTGATGGGCCACAAGGTCAACTCCTTCTCCAGTTTCTTGTCTTCTTGTTCTTGTGAAAAAGAAACAGAAAATATTGTAAATAGACAGGAAGTGCAGCATATGCAGGGTGGGAAACCCATCTCTAGTTAATTATATCAAGGCAGGAATCCCCACTAGTATTCAACAAATACTGAGTGGAAAAGTCATCATGCAGGGAGCCCAAAATGCAAAATCTGTCAGGTTGACATGTGGGCTTCCATAAGGATTGCTTATTCAAAAGAACTCAGTGCCTGATCAAGAAGCCCAGTTTTGGAATGACAAAATCTAATGAGAGTCAACATATTCCCCTTTCTTCTGAAATCCATTGTCCCCATATAGCAACCCCTTCCCCAACACCAGCCACTCACCCGTGGCCTGGAACCTTGTTGATCCCTGCCGTCTGTGAATATATAACCAGCATCAGCCCTGCTCCCACGTGTGCTAATTAGTGCAAGAGAATGGCTGGCCTCTGATGTGCATTAAATTCTGTAGATGTTCCCAAATGGAGGCAATGCTGGTCTCGTGCTTTATTTCCATATCTTTTATTCCATTCCAAGATATTTAAGAGGTTTGTATAAGGAGATTTAACAGAAATATAATTATAGAAAGGATATTTGCTTTTTAACAATTTGGGTGAAATTATATAGGCCCAATGCTATCAACTAGATCTTACATGCAGGAGGTTGCTATTGGAGCATCACATATAAACTGCCCAAGATCTTCCATTTATTAATCTAAAATCATAGACTACACATATAATTTTCACTGCTTACTCCTTGTCTAATAGGTCCTGTTGATATGATGCCGCACTGAGAAATTTTTCTTTAAAATTATTCCCTGTGGCAAACATTTTACTTTAAAAAATTGTGCAGATTATTCCTAATACCAAGAGTACACCACATTTTGTCAAACGTAATTCTATTGGTCATTTTTAATCCTAAGTCACCATCTGTACTATTGTGGGATAATAATCACCTAGTACTTATTGTTCAATAACTTCTTCACAAGTAGATGCTGAATCTATCGTTTACTTAATCTGCATCTCTCTCTTTCTAGCCAGAAACGAAGAAAGCCAAATATTTTTCTCAAAGTTCACTTATTTCCCACAGAAATCACCTTTTACTTGTCTAGAAACATGATATTCTGAGGTTGTTGACTTGCTTGCCGATCTAGGAATTCCCATGCGTGTCTGCGTTTCGCTTGGGCTACTATGCTTACCTTGTCCCAGTTAAACTGATGGCCTTCATTGTCTGGGTGTACCGATATTAAGGAGAGTTCGTTGTGCTGTTTTGCTTCTAGTTGATGTTCTGATGGCTAGTTTCCTTCCTGTCTGTCCGATGTAATATTTGTGGCAGTTGTTGCATCGTATTTTGTAAACCACACGAATGGGGTCTTTAATCCTTTAAGTGTTAGTCGTAGAATGGCTGTGGGCTTGTGGGCTACCATGATTCCTAGTTGTCTTAGGAGTCTTGTTGTCAATTCTGATATGTTCTTGATGTAGGACAGTGTGGCCAGTGTGTGAGGCCGTACTGTGTCCTCCTGTTGTTGTCTGTTTTGTAGGTGTCTGCAGATGAAGTTGCAGGGATATTGGCGAGCAAGTCAACAACCTCACCCACACCCCAAGCTACAGATCTTTGCCAAAACTTTAAACATGATATTCTATTTGAGTTGGAGAACAATAGTGTTTTTAGTAAGATGAATGGCAATAGACATTTTCTTCAATACTACTCTAAAAAATATATAGTGTATATTTTTCCAGAGTTGTTTATCATGCAGTATAGTTTTTTATCCATTAAAAGATACATGTGGTTTATTTCCTCTTTTTAATGGAAACTAGTAGGCTGCAGTAAATGGCCTAGTTTATTTTTAAATTTTGGAACTTGTTTCATAATAACTGACCAGTGGTAGAGAATCATATTCACTGCTATCACTTTGTTGGATTATTGAAATTTGCTTGCTCATTTAGTTCAGTTATGTCAAACTTGTCCTGAAATAAAATTCATTTCTTTAATTTAAATGTGCAATTGAGGGAAGCTGAGTGTGTTCCCTATTATTAACATTAACAAGCAAATACAAACTGTTATCATTTATTGTTCATGTTTATTTAACATGTACTTGAAGGGATAGGATCCCACTCTAGTGATAAACAAAATTAACAGCCTTTTAGGTTTTTCACTAATATTAAATACTTCTTGTTCATGAACACCGTTCCCTCTCAAATTGTCACAAAGGAAAATATAGCCCTCAGATTTGTACGCAACTGCAGAATCTTGGAGATTCTGTCTTTTTTAAAATCTTTTGAGCATGCAGCTGTTTTGTGCACTTCTGTCTAATTTATATGTTCTATGTCATTTTAACTTTTTGTGCTGCTAGCTGCTACACTGAAGCTACCATGCTGTACTCACGGCAGTCAACTCTAGATGATATAGATGATATTCCTAAAACAAGTGAGCGTGCTCGACCTAGGCTTCGTAAAATGTACAGCGTTGATATGTCATCCTCATCGGTTGAAAGTTGCAGTATAGTGTCAAGGTGCTTTATTCATGCATGCTTAATTTCCATAATTAATCAAATATATGTATATTATATACATATATAGTATATATGTGTTTATATAATGTGTTCAGCATGACTCCTACTTTTAAACTCAGGTTTCTGTTTTGCAAAATGTAACAATACTACAAGTTACTTGATCTTGCTGTTATAAACTTAATGCTAGAAAATAGTCACTCTGACCCTGAAGTATGTGCCCAAATCTGAAATCATTCAGATCTACAAGGTCCTTTCTGTACATGCTATTTAGCCTGCAGGCTACACTAAGAATTGTGTAAAATTACAGAGTCTAGCTTCAATCCAGATCATCTGTATCAGAGTTCATATGACACACAAGCCGCTCCAACTTTAATTCCCTCTTCCTAACTTGCCGATATCCCTCTTTTGCCTTCCAACCCAAGTATGCATCAAGTCTCCAATTAAATGCATGAATACTAACTGCCTCAACCACTTCCTCAGTTCCACATTCTTTTGTGAAGAATGTCTTTCTGCATTCATTATTCTGATAAGCTATTGACTATCTTCTATTCATGCCCCTTTGCGTTGGAGTCTCCCAGAAGTTGAACCAGTTTCTCTATATCCACTATATCGAACCTGTTGGTCATTTTAAAGAACTCTTTCAGGTTATCTTTCAGTCTTCTCTCTTACAAGGGGCAGAGTACGAACAGCAGCCCATTCAATCTGACAGTTGTTTGCTTCCAATTCGGGTAATAACTTTGAAGATTTTTGTTTTGATCATAAAAAAGTGAACTGATAAAATAGCCACAACTTAAGGGAGGAGAAAAGAACTTCCCCTTTCATTGCTTGAGTAAGTAATAATGTACTTTGTGGTTTAATGTAAAGAGATACAGATAAGGTAGGTGTAAAATTCTGTCCAGATGTGTGCTGCTTTGTTTGGTCTTAATGAGGCAGTGCTGATGATGCTGCTACAGTTGATTGGTCTGCCTGGAGAATGGAGAAGGGTCCCGACCCGAAACGTCAACTTTCCTACTCCTCTGATGCTGCCTGGCCTGCTGTGTTCCTCCAACTCCACACTGTGTTATCTCTGACTCCAGCATCAGCAGTTCTTACTATCTCTGAATGCTCTTTCTTCTGCTTGTTTCCTGATGGAAAATGTGTGCATGTTAGATAATGACTGAATTGGACCCATTGTGATGCCTTTTATTTTATTAAGTAACTTGCTGACTCTTAAAGCCTATTTTACATGTCAAGAATTTTCACTTTGGTTTGGTACTGGAGGGTTACCAGTTCCAGATTCAGTGTCCATACAATGAATTATTGCCATAGAGAGAAAGGAGCAAAAAGTTATGTTCAATTCTGATGGATACAGTACAACACAAAGTAAATTAAGTTAATGCATTTCAATATTTTCTTTATCTTTTGACTCTGCACAGGTTTAATTATATTTCCACATTTTAATCACATCAATGCCATTTGACACACAAGCATGGACCCACGAATAAATATGTGAGCAGTCTTGGCATGTGGACTGAATAAGTGCATGAAGCTGGTGCAAGATGTACAGTGAATCTTTTCCTGACCAAAACAAACAAAATCTGTTGCAACTTGACGCTTAATTCATCATGGAAATTTCAAAAGTTTTGAATGGGAAAAGATTAAAAATCTAAAATTTCTTTGAACGGAAGATTGGCTACAATGTGAATTTTATTAAAGTGAACATTTCTTTTTCTTAGTGAACCAACACAATGCACAATGCTGTATTCGCGCCAAGGTACCACAGATACAATTGAAGAAGTGGAAGATGAGCAGGATGAAGAAATGACAATTCCTGTATGCACATCAGATATCATGACTGAGGAAGTTCCACCTTCGTATAGCAAAGCTGTTAGTCTTGATCGCCTATCCTTTAGTTCAGATTCAGCTGGTGAAAAACACCTTATGGCACTTACCCCAGATAGCAGGATGGATTTACTAGAAGATACAATCTTTCCAAATTTAAGCCATGAACTAACAGCCAGTGAACTGCTTCTTAACAAGTAAGGTGGAATTTTAGTTATATGTCTTTCTTCTATTGAGTTAGCATACATCTTTAATGCAATTCCATTGTCTTACATTTCAGAATGTTTTATGATGAAGAGTTAGAAGAGTCAGAAAAATTCTACAAAGCCCAGCCTCGAGCACTACTCCTATTCTTCGCTCTATATAATACCTTAGTAGCTCGTTCGGAAATGTTATGTTTCTTTGTCATTATACTAAATCACATGGTTTCTGCTTCAATGATTACGCTGGTACTTCCTATTCTCATCTTCCTCTGGGCTATGTTATCTGTACCCAGGCCAAGCAAACGTTTCTGGATGACAGCCATTGTGTATACTGAGGTATGTTGAATTTTTGGAGTCTGTTGTAATTTATTTACATTTTTTAATACTTAATTTCCTTTTATTGTGGCTAAACATAGTTTTACAATATTAATGGGAACTACGGTAATGTTGTCTATTCAATATTACTGGAATGGGAAAGTTAAGTGTAATGCTAGCTCTTTATAAATCTTTGAAATATCAAATCTAAAATACAAATGTATGTATGGGATTATAGGCAGGGAAGGAGAAGGTAACTGAGAATAATCAAAATATCTTAGGATTTGAGAATGTAGTTACATTGCGTAAGTTGCTCCTAAGCATCTGTTATTTTGCTCAATTAGACATACTTTTGTCAATGATACACAATTTATAAGCTCAAGCTATGAATTAGTACAGTCTTGGGTGAAGCTACAATGGGGAAGGTAATGCCATTCATCTTGTTTATGGTTTGTGGGACCTTCTGTTGTGATTTCGACAAAAATATATTTCATTATGTTTCACATGTACATGTGTTGGTCTCAATTTCAATGGCTGAGGGTGTGAAAGTTCTGCAAAATGAAAAAGTTTCCTTAAATAATATTTACCTGAACCAATTCTGTCTTCTCTTTAACACCCTGGAAATTCTATGGCCTCACCCATTGATAACTTAAAACCATTCAAATGCTCTCCTGGATAGCATCCCATCTTTCACCCTTTGTTCCTAATATCCTAAATTATACAATTCCTATTCATGCACCACTTCTCTCCTTGGTGGTCTGGCAATGCCTCAATTTTAAAATGTTCATCCATACTTTCAAATTCCTCCATACTTTCCCACTCTCTATCACTGAACCTCCTCTTGAGTCCTATATCTGTGCTGCATTCCAATTCCAGTCTCTTCCATTGCTGTTTTTTTTTTACTTGCTATTGACAGCATTGCCTTCAGTTGCTTTAGCTCTGACTTCTGGAATTCCATTCTGAAGCTTCTCTGCCTCTCTAGTTCTGTCTGTTCCTTTTAAGCACTCATTAAAATCCGTGATCAAGCTATTAGTCACCTGTAATGTTCTTTTAGGTGGCCTTTCATGGAGAGTGTGGACTACTGCCTTCAAGAGAGATTGAACCCCGGAAGCTACTCTGTCAGATTATGTAACTTATTGGTGACATTGGTGCCAACCCAGTGGTTGCTCTGTTGGGGAGGTGATGGCATAGCGGTATTGTCACTAGACCAATAAATTAGAGTCCCAAGCTTATATTCTGGGGACATGGGTACAAATGCCATCATGGCAGCTGGTGAAATTTTAATTCAATAAAGATCTGGAATTAAAAGCTGGCCTAATATAGATATGGTCACTATTGTCATGGATTTCCATCTGGTTCACTAATGTCCTTCAGGGAGGGAAGTCTGCCATTCTTACCAGTCTGGCTTCCATGTGATTAAGACTCTCGTCGATGTGATTGACTCTTAACTGCCCTCTGAAATAGCCTAGTAAGCCACTCAGTTCAAGCGCACTAAGTGATGGGCAATAAATGTTGATTCAGCCAATGACACCCACATCCCACGGACAAATAAAATGATGTCAAAACCAGAATACTAACAATGCACATTGTTATTGGCATGTTCCACTTGGCTCAGGAACATTTATGTCATGAAATATGTATTACTCGTTATTGCCTGCCCTCTATTCTTCACAAACTTCAGTTATTCCAGAACAATAGGGCCTTTTATATATGGAACACATGTTTTCCTTATCAAATTGAGTACACATATTTGAGTGTTTCAATATTTCCAATAAATATTTCTAACTATTAAGATGTCTGGCCAGAATACAAAATTGGAAAACTGCTTTTAAAATTTTAAAGAATTGGAATCCATATTCAAATGATTTTTTATTTCAAAAAGTTCTTTGTTAATAATTTGTTCAGGTCAAATCTCTACACAGATTGTTAATGGCTAAAACATTAATATTGCAGACCTCTGTTGCATCAACAAATTGTCATTCAAATTGAGTATATTTCATGAGAGTTTTACAGACACTATAGTTTAAAACTTGAAAGATGGAATTCAAAACTATTTTCAGCAAATTCAAGCCTCATGAACTTAAAATGCTATTCTGATAAAAGTCGTTAAAATTCCAATCAAATAAGTATGAGAAATGGGAACAAAGAGGTTGCAGTTACGATAATATGTTCAGTTTTAGGGTAACTATTAGAAATAAGTGAGTAAAGTTAAATAGATCTGGAAAAAAAATACAAAAATATAATCTTATAGAGGAGCTTAAAATACATTGGAATAGTCAAGTCTAAATGGATATTTAGTAGCTTTTTTTAAAAATTATGCAGCCTTTCAGGCCATTCAGTGAGTTAGTGACATGAGTTAATCAGTGATAATTCACTCTTTTTCAATAGCAGATGTAAGGGTGCCAGGACTGAGGCTAGGTTATGCATGAATTTTCAGTAATAATTCACCAACCCAAGAAAGAAACACATTTATGTATTTAATTATGACTTCACTCACGTAGCCATATTTTAATCAGCTCCTAGAGTGCACAGAACCCCTGACACTCCTGCTTATATCTGTCAGCTAGAACTCCCTGATTAGACGAGGTTAGCAGCCCCAATCAGGGAACTCATATTCTACAAGATCCATCTGGCTGACCTTATTCCAATCACTACAACTGGGAATCAGGAGAAGACACCATTGGTTGGAGTCATACCTAACACAAAGGAAAAGGGTTGTGGTTATGAGAGGAGAAATCATTTCAACCCTACAACATCCATGCTGAAGTTCCTTAGGCACCCAGGCCCAACCATCTTCAGCCACTTCTTCAATGACCTTACCTCCATTATAACGGTCAAATGTGTGAATGTTTACTGATGATTGCACAATATTCAGTACCATTTGCAACACCTCAGATACTAAAGCAGGTGGTGACTATGCACAGCCGGTCCTAGACAATATCCAGGCTTAAGCTGATAAGTGACACTCAACACTCGTGCTTCACAAGTGACAGGCAATGACCAGTTCTAGCAAGTGAAAATCCAAACATGACTCCTTGATGTTACTGAAACCCCCACTATCAACATCCTGGGGATTGCCATTGGCCAGCAACTGAAATGAACCAGCCATATAATTACTGACTACAAAAGCGTATCAGAAGCTAGGAATTCTGTGATAAGTAACTTAGCTCCTGTCTCCCTAATATCTGACAATCATCTCAGAGTCACAAGCCAGGAATGTAATGTAATATTTTACACTTGTCTGGATAGGTGCAGACATAGTAACACTGAAGAACTTGACCTTAGCAATGACAAAGCAGTTTGTTGATTGGCACCCCAGCTAATACCTTCAACATTCACTCCCTCCAACACCGATAGAGAGTGGTCGCAGGGTCACTGGACTCAAAACGTTAACATTAGAACTATGTACCTGTTCCTTTCATACTATGGGGTAAAAATCCTGGAATTCCCAGCCTAACAGCACATCCCAAGGACTGCAGCTGTTTCAAGAAGATATCTCACCAGGGTAACTGGAGATTGGTCGTAAATGCTAGCCTAATCAGTGATGCCCCCATCCTATGAACATTTTTTTAGAGTATGGATTATTGCTGTTTAAACGCAAGACTCCTATGAGCACTGGGCATCAGAGTAGCACACAAACCGACATCAGCCCTACGACAACTGCTCACCCAAACCAAAAACCCATTACCCACTATGGACAGGACCAATGTCATATACAAGATTCCATAGAGAGAATGTAACAAACACTACATTGTGTCAAAGAGGAAGGAAATTAACAACAAAGGTACACGAACATCAATTGGCTACAAAAAGACATGACCAATACTCACTCATCTCTAACCACATGGATAAGGAGAACCACCAATTCGACTGGGATAGCACCAAGATCACGGGACAATCAAAGCAGAGACAAGCACGGGAATTCCTAGAAGCCTAGTACTCTATGAAGAAAGCCATCAACAAACAAATAGAGCTCGACCCCACTGCGAAGGAAAACCAGAAGTGAGGTAATCCAGCTCAACGGACTCCAGAGTTCAAATAACAGGCGGGAAAACACAACAGCACTTCATCGGAGGCTGCACTGATGACGTTACCCAGCAGGGTAATGAAATGTCTGCGGAAAAACAATGAAGCAACCAACCACAATAGAAGATAATTATTTGAAATGCAGGGAGTTGACAAAAAAGCAGGAGCGTGAGATTCATTTTAAATTGTTCTTGTAAAGAATTCAGCATAGCTGCGTTCAGATGTATAGCTTTTTTCTAACTTTTAACATCAATGGTTTTAAGAAACACAGTCTCACATCCAAAGATATGTCAAAGATATATGATGCCTTTCTAATTCCTTTGTGGAGTTTGAACAGAATTTATTCATGCAAGTAAAATAGACATCCCTGATTTATTTATCCCTAATAAAGTAAAATATTAACTGTGGATGCTTGTAATACATATATACCTAATTGATAATGTTTTATGCTGGTCCTTTTCTGTATTTCCCAAAGTACCATAAATATTTAATTTCATTGAATTGGACTGGATGATGATGCCAATGAGACTGTTTATGTAAAGCTATCATATTTCACCTTCTTACAGGTAACAATTGTGATCAAGTACTTTTTCCAATTTGGATTTTTTCCATGGAATGAAAATTTGAGTATAACTCGAGAAAAACCTGATTTTCCCCCAAATATAATTGGCATTGAGAAGAAGGAAGGCTATGTGCATTATGACCTTATACAGCTGCTTGCACTGTTCTTTCACCGATCCATTTTAAAGGTAATATGCTGTCATTTCCCTTCCTGAAGGAAAAATACACTGCCAAACTGTCTTTTCTGTGCATTCTTACGTGGAAGATTGCAAAAAGGTATCCTATTATGTGTTAAACAAGATATCCAACATCTGACGTCATAAAAGGTAATTCGTGGAAAATGCAGGAAAAACATTGTGTTGGTGATGGGTAAACATTGGAGCATGGACTCACCTCTTTGTCTCAGATTTTAACAAGCCTACAAAGTAGTTTTTGAATATCTTGTTCTTATTTCAGCATGTATGTAAGATTTTGGGGTTAACCTCAAATTTTAATTGAATTAAGTGATGTTCAATGCAGAGAAGTGTGAGGCTATGTGGTTTGATTGGAAGAATATTGAAAGACAATACAAAATAGGGTGTACAATTCTATAAGGGTACAGGAGCAGAGCAATGTTGGTATATATATGTTATTGAAGATGGCAGGACAATTGGAGAGCATGGTTAATAAATCATACTTGCATAAGATACTTGTTAAGCCTCAGCTGCAGTATTATATAAAGTTGTGGCACCACATCATAGAAAAGATGTGAATGCATTGTAGAGAATGCAGAAGGGATTTACAAGAATGGTTCCAGGAATTACAAACTTCATTTATGAAGATAGATGAAGAAGTTGGGGCTGTTCTATTCGTAGACAAGATGGCTGAGAGGAGATTTGATAGAGGTTTTCAAAATCACAAATGGGCTGTATAGAGTAGATAGGGAGAAGCTGTTCCCACTTATGAAAGGAACAAGAGCAACTGGACAGAGATTTAAAGTGACGCCTAAAAGAAGCAAGGGTTTTGAGAGAATGGCTGAGGTTACTGGCTCAGCCTCTCCCTCACCTGAGGCATGGTGACCCTCAGCTTAAACTACCATCAGCCATGTCTCTCTAAGCAGGACTATGGTGACTTTACCTTTACCACCACATCTAGAGAAGGAAAAGTGATGGTTGGGAGTGCACCCTCAGCACTAGGCCCTGCCTGGTTGCCTGGTACACCTCCAAAGCCTGCATGCCCCCTTTAACATCCCACTACTCCGACAGTCCGTTTCTACCCATTCCCCCAACATGGAGACTCACCACTTGAACTTCATTTGCAACTGTAAGAAAAAATAATTTTACTAAAACATTTTTTTGCATTATATTACACTGACACTGTAGGGACATATAAACAAAAGTAGAGCCATTCACCCGATGAGACATTTAATATGATTATGGCTGAAGGAACGCTTCAGTGCATTTTACCACGGTTTCCTTGTAACTCATTATGCCATCAGTACTCAGAAAATATTGGCAATTCTCTGTTGGTTCTGTATCTCCTAAGATTTTCATTTCTGTTGAAGTGACTGGAAAGGACAGCTAAGAGAGGTGTGGAACAGGGGCTAAATGGAATTCACTACCTTACATTGTCATCCAAACGTAGAATTATCCACTGAATGTGTAACTTGTATGATAAGGTCACAACTATTCAGAATGTTGAAATTGTTTAGTTCATGAGAAATGGTGAAAGAAATTTTTATTTTTTTAATTTTTTTTCTTTTATGAATGATTTTCAACTGGTGCTTTCTATATATAACAATGCATTCTAGGGATTGGAATCATTGTAAGCCAGTCACATTTGAGCTTATAATTAACAATACTAGATGAATTATCCAATTATTATCAGTTTTGTAGTATAGTCATGTGAGTGGTAAAGAAAATATATGTATTAATTGTTCTGGTGATAACTACATGCTTATTTTGTAAAAATTTCATTCTAGTGTCATGGTTTATGGGATGAGGATGAAAAGAATGAAAATGCCTCAGCTAAAGATGACATGGAACAAGATCATCTGAATGAGTCTCAGAGAAAGAACTCCATAGGTTCTTTAAAATCAATTAATTTGCAAGCATCAATGGATTCCATACATGTTCACTTTCCAGAACAGACAACAGCCAGAAGACCAAGTTCAACAGGTTCACAGATCTCAAATCGATCGTCACATAGATCACAAAGAGGTAATCACATATTTTTATATATTTGAAGCATGAGAAAAGATGTGTGAAATTTTGAGTGCTGAAACTTCTTAATAGTTGAAAATGTTACTTTTAGCTTAATCATCAGCAAATGTGCCAGCAGTAGAGGTCTCAGTGCAATAACATTAGCTGAGATTTTTGCAAATATAAATGAGCTGTCTATGGAAAAACTTTCAAATTCAATGGTTTGAAATTTCTTCAGGAATCAAATATGAGACTAAAACCTTTTAATAAGTGCTAAGAATATTTATTATAATAGATATAATCTAGATTACATTGTAATAATGAATTCATGGAGAGTAGGGAATTAAAGATAGTTAATTCACTATTCCATTATTGATTTACAAGGAAGTAAATATTCAATAATTTCTAAATTTGACATGGTGTGTTGGTCATATGTTCAGCAAAGAATAATATGAAAATTCTACATTAAATTTTAAGAAACTTTTCAAGACAACCTAGAAATCAACTTGATATTCAGACAAATGTCAAGATTCAACAAATATGCTATACTTACAGTCCCACTTTGACTTTATAGAAGGTAGATGTATCTTTGTCTCGACTTTTCTTTAAAAGCAGTAAAAAAGGAGATCATCCTAGACCTCTCCAAGGTCAACTGTGAAATTTTACTGTTTTTCTTGGACTAAATTCCAATTTGCAGAAATGCTTATAATTTCACAGTCAGTTAGCTGTGAAAATTCACTGCTTGATTTTTGCTTTGATTTGCTTTTTAAACTCTACAGCTGTTCTCTGACCTCCTATGTGGTCTCTCCTGAAACCAAATCTCCTGCTCTATCTTTCCTCTCCTTAAAGTATCAGTGTTTTAATTCCTTTTTTGAAGTTCCAGAAATAAAGCAAAAAACTGATAAAAACATTGGCCACTTTTGGGAAAATCTTTTGGAATATTATGTTCAATTGTGGTCTCCCTGCTATAGGAAAGATGTTCTTAAACTTGAAAAGGTTCAGAAAAGATTTACAAGGATGTTGCTGGGGTTGGAGGGTTTGAGGTATGGGGAGAGGCTGAATAGGTTGGGTCTATTTTCCCTCGGAGCATTGGAGGCTGTGGGGTGACTTTACAGAGGTTTATAAAATCATGAGGGGCATGGAGAGGGTGAATAGCCAAGGTCGTTTTATGAGGGTAGAGTCCAAAACTGAAGGGCATAGGTTTAAGGTGAGAGGGAAAAGATTTAAAGTGGAGCTAAGGAGAAATGGCTTCATGCAGAGGGCGGGGTGTGTATGGAATGAGCTGCCAATGAAAGTGGTGGAGGTGCATTCCGCGACAACATTTAAAAAGCATCTGGATGGGTACATGAATAGGAAGGAGTTAGAGGGATATGGGCAAAATGCTGGAAAATGGGACTAGATCAGTTTAGGATACCTGGTTGGCATGGATGAGTTGGACTGAGGGTATCTTTAGTGTTGGGGACCAAGTGTAGTGTGTCAAAGTTCACAGATGATACCGAGAAAAGTGGTGAAGCAAAGTGTGCAGAGGATACTGAAAATCTACAGAGGGATATACATAGGTTAAGTGATTGGGCAAGGGTCTGCTAGATGGAGTACAACGTTGATAAATATGAGGTCATCCATTTTCGTAGGAATAAAGGCAAAATGGACTATTATTTAAATGGTGAAAAATTGTGGCATGCTATTGTGCAGATCGACTCGGGTGTCCTTGTGCATGAATCATAAGAAGTTGGTTTGCGGGTGCCACAGGTAATTAAGAAGGCAAATGGAATATTGTCTTTCATTGTGACAAAAATAAGGAGGTTATGCTGCAGCTGTACAGGGTGCTGGTGAGGTCACACCTGGAGTACTTGTAAATTTTGGTTTCCTTGAGAAAGGATGTACTGGAACTGGAGGCAGTGCACAGAAGGTTCACTAGCTTGGTTCCGGATTTCAGAGTGTTGGCTTATGAAGAGAGATCGAGTAGACTGGGATTATACTCATTGGAATTTAGAAAAATGAGGGGGGATCTTATAGAAACATATAATATTTTGAAGGGAATAGATAGGATAGAAGCAGGGAGGTTGTTTCTACTGACAGGTGAAACTCGAACTAGGGGACATTGTATCAAAAGAAGAGGGATTATTTAGGACTGAGTTGAGGAGGAACTTCTTCACCTAAATGGTTGTGAATCTGTGGAATTCCCTGTGCGGTGAAGCAGCTGAAGCTACCTCATTGAATGTCTTAAAGGGAAAGATAGATTTTTGAACAGTAAGGGAATTAATGGCTATGGTCAGCGGGCAGGTTAAGTGGAGCTGAGTCCGCAAAAGCATCAGCCATGACCTTATTGAATGGCAGAGCAGGCTGGATGGGCCAGATAGGAGCAGAAGTAGGCTATTTCTTATGCTGTTGTGTTCTAATATCTGTTTCTATGCTCTACAATGCTAGGACTATACGCCATTTGCTGTTATGGTCTGCTTTTACTGACACACAAATGCTAATTTTTAGAGTTTTCTGTTACTGTTGTCTGTGGGTCTAAAGTAGAAATCTAGTCTTGAAATTTTATAAAAGACAGAATTCTTGTAAAAACAAAACATTTTTTAAAGCCTGGTTCACAATACACAGTTGAAAGGGCTTATGCTGTAGGGCTGTTTACAATCTTGCTACTCACAAAATTTTAAGTTCTCATACCACCTAATTCTGCATTAAATTTGACACATTGATTGCTAGATTATTTGTTTATTTTCCTTTACAGAAGTACAGGCCTTTTTGTTAAATTATGTGGTGATTGTTCAACTGAGTGCCTACCGATTATGCTAATTTCTTATGCATTATCCTCAAAACTCAAGATTTTGCTGCTAGTAAGCATTTAATCAAGGTGATTTTTTAAAAAAAATTTTCTTACAGGTAGTATAAGCACCCGAAACAGTAGTAGCCGGAAAGGAAGTGGGTCACTCAGTGTTCAACCAAAGAATAAGAAAGAGCTTTTATTGGAAAAAGTAAGGGAACAAATGATCAAGGCAAAAACCATTGTCATTGCAAAGTAAGTGATATAATTCTGATTTCAGAAAATGTTCATCCATGCAGGATGTCAGGGTTGTTATAAAAAGTTCTGTTATTTTATTAAAGATGCATCACATTTACAGGAAGAATGGTGCTGTAAAATTTTAAGACCATGTCCTTTTCATCCCTGTTTTCTGTTTGAATACAGATCAGGGAATTAGTTAAAATTTTCCTCCTATCATAATTATTGAGCTTAAACTATAAGAAGTCAGACAGTCTCTTTTCTAATTCCTTATGATTATGAATCTACAGTAGAAAATAGGTCCAATTCAGTTCAATACTAATTGCTGCAAGTTTGCCAATTGACTTGGATAAGCAATATTCACAGATCAAAGAATAATATATAAATAGAGTAAGGAATTCTGCTCTGATCATAGGATAAAAGTCATTTCTTAAACAAGTTGAGGAATTCTTTGAGTCATGCAATATTAATGTTCAATATAAGAAGGAAACGTTTTTCATTTTCCAGCATTGTTACCCTTAAATAGATGGATGAAAACTCATCATCAAAGAACTGTCTCTGGCATTTTTGCATACTAGTACTGCAAAGCAGAACTTCCATGTACTGCTTTAAAATTTACAAGCCCTCCTAAGGTTCTTCAGTAGAATTGTAGCTCAGGTTGTAGATGCTGTGGTTGGTTTGCTCGCCGATCTGGTTTGTTAGTTCACAGAAGTTTCATTACTCTGCTGGGTAGCATCATCAGTGCAGCCTCCAATGAAACGCTGTTGTGTTTTCCCGTCTGGTATTTCTTTCATCAGCAATTCACCCCACTCAATCCACTCAGCCCAGGAGATCCTTAATTCCTTCATAAACTTAAGAATAGACGAGGACAAGGCCTTAGTGTCCTTTGATGTTAGCACCCTATTCACATCGATTGACATACCACTGGCAAGAGAAACACTAGCAACACTTCTAAAAGAACGAGACCCGAGTGACACCATCTCCACAGACAGCATGCAGAAACAACTGGACCTATGCCTGATGACCCACTTTACCTTTAATGGCCAAATCTATGAACAAATCAATGGGACACCCATGGGTCACCTATCTCCGGACTATTAGGAGAAGCAGTGCTGCAGAGACTTGAAAGCATAGTCCTTCCGCAGATCCAACCTAAACTATGGATCCGATACGTGGACGACACTTTCATCATCATCAAACGGACTAAACTAGAGGAGACACACCAACTAATAAACAACACTCCCACCACCATCAAATTCACCAGGGAAGAAGAAAAGAATGAACAGCTGCCATTTCTGGATGTCATAGTAGAACGCAGGGCCAATGGGGAGTTTCTGACAAAAGTACATAGAAAGATTAAGTTTCTGAATTTTAGCAGCCACCACCCCAACACCCACAAACAGAGTTGCATAAAAACACTATTTAAATGAGCGACAACACAGTGCAGCAACCCAGAACTACGCCAAAACAAAGAATAATACCTCTACCAAGTATTTAAGGACAACGGATACCCGAACAGCTGGGTCCAACAATGCCTATCACACAAACAACAACAGGAAGATACAGTACGCCCTGACACACTTGTCACATTACCATACTTCAAGAACATATCCGAACTGACCACAAGACTCCTACGACCATTGGGCATCAGAGTAGCACACAAACCTACGTCAACCCTACACCAACTGCTAATGCGAAACAAAGACCCCTTACCCACTATGGACAGAACCAACATGATATACAAGATCCCATGCAAAGGCTGCGACAAACATTACATTGAACAGACAGGAAGGAAACTGGCCGCAAGAATACATGAACACTAACTAGCAACAAAAAGACATGACCATTACTCGCTTGTCTCCATTCACATGAATAAGGAGAACCACCAGTTCGATTGGGACAACATCAGGATCCTAGATCAGGCCAAACAGAGACAAGCACGGGAATTTCTAGAAGCTTGGTTCTCTACCAAGAAGGCCATCAATAAATATGTAGGATTAGACCCTATATATACACCACTGTGAAGAAAAACTGGAAATGAGGTAACCAATTCCAACGGACCCCAGAGTTTAAATACCAGTTTAAACACAACAGCACTTCATCAGAGGCTGCACTGATGATGTTACCCAGCAGGGTAATAAAACATCTGTGAACTAAAGAACCAGCTCAGCGAATGAAGCAACCACAGCAAAGCACTCCGAGTATTTTTAAAAATTGAGGCATGAAGGTAAAGATGAGCTTCAACACATGCTCTTTTTTCTTGAATGATAGAGACAGAGCAATAAACCCACAAAAACTTATATTTCTTCTCAATAGGGCAGCAATTTCAGGATTGCCAAAGTAGCTCAGTAAAACCTCCAAACTGCTGGTGAAACATTGTGGAATGTTGACAAGGGGTATCTGTCCTTCCTCACCAATTAACAGTGCTATTATATTGTGAACAGGTAGATAGAAGTTGTAAACAGTGTTATGACCTTTCCAACTTTTATTCTACAAATGTGCTGGACGGATTGTGAAAGTTGTGGGTTGACTATATGAATAAGACAGATTTAATGCGATTAGATATCACAGCTTTCAATATTGGCCAGGAGGTTTAGGGTCAGAAACTAGTGGCATTATAGGGAGAGTAAATTGTAAGAGATAGCTGGTCACCAATTTTGCAGAGCCCCAATTCTGTAAGCGTTGATGTCTTTTCCTAAGAATGGCAACCATTAACAGCACCCTTGAGATGATTGAACTTCTGGAAAGTCGCACATTGGAAGTGCGTCTGAAAGATAGTAGGAGCTGGACAGTATTGTAGTACCTATTGGAATGGTGTCCCAATCAGAATGACTGTGCCATGGATGTTGTATGTTCTAGAGAAGGTTCCTCCAGTGATAAGGAGAATTTGAGAGGTGGAAAATGCGGACATATAGATTGGGACAGCAACAGTCTCCTGGTTACCTGCAAGAACAATTTCATAAAGGCGAATTGACGAAAGACTGCAGAGATGGCTGCAAGCAGACCCAAGCATAGAGCTGTAGGGTCTCCTGTTGAAGGACAACTGCTGCAAGATGGTGGAGCAGCAGTGTCACCAAAGACGATGACTGGCCCTGAAATGCCACAACTGATATGCCTGATGGAAGTAGAGGTGTATTGCAGTTGTATTGGTGATCATTTGATGAAGTGGTTCATTCTGCTCCTGAATTTCTATAATTTTGATTCAGTCTAAGGAGCCACTGGATGTGTCTGTGCAACCCCCAATCATATGTCAACCTAATAATAGGCTTCCACCCCAGGACAACCAACCACTGCATAAATTTCTGAATCGATGTAAACAATCAGGCCATGAGAGCTAGGGGACATCGTCAGTATTATTGATTTACACGATGGTTATCGATTTCCCCTGTAACCAGCCAATAAAAAGAAGGATTTTTATTCCTTTAATAAGAAAATTGTGTGTAATTACAACCAGCAGATCCTCCAGAATCCTAATAATTTCTCTGGGGGTATCTACAATGTTTAAGATCCCCAGCATTGTGAGATGTTGCAGCTTTGCAATCACCACCTCATCCACCTGACCCCCTTCCCGTAGCCTCCCAAAAAATGTATCTACAAGGGTAGATATTTGTAAAGAGGTGGCTGTTGACACTATAGAGGGTTCTGGTGACTGAGGCAAAGAACTACAATAGTGAAAATCATATCTGACCAGAACAGCTGTAAAATAGACTATTGGTTCCCTCGCAATGATATTTAGGTGCCTATCGATCAGCTGCATTCTCTGAAGTCGTCTCCTCTTCCTTAGAGATGAACAAGTGTCTGCCAGAGTAGGCAGCTTTTTGTTTCTACAGTGGATCTGTGAGAGAATATGGGATCATTAGTGCTTTTTACTCACTGACAGAAGTCCATGGAGTCAGCAACATCTCGCATCAATTCCTGTACTTTGTAAGAGACATGTACACCATCCTTCATGCCAACAGTGAGTTGATGCACACTCCTGCTACTATACTGCAGCTTCTTTGCTATGAAGCAGTAACCCTGATTTCCTGTCAACTCAAGAACCTCCTTGGCTATAGAATTCAGGGTGGCAATGATTGGGAGTTCACCACTAGTCTCTGATCGTTCTCTAGCCTATTCTGGTCCCTCTACACCTGTGGAATACAGAAGACAGTTTTAGTAGCTGAACTACAACACCATAATGCCTAATCACTATGCATTGACACTGCTGCTGTGTCTGTGGCCAATGCCATGTGTATGGCACTGGGGGTCTTTGGAAGGACCATTCTGCTCCAGAATTCCTATAATTTTGATTCAGTCTAGGGAGCCACTGGAACCCCCAATCATATGTCAACCTAATAATAGACTTTTACCCCAGGACAACCAACCACTGCATAAAATAGTATAAGTAGTACCAGACTCATGTACCTTGACAGAGCTGCAACCAGTCCTTTCCAATTAGATGCTGCATGGTGACTGGTGAATTCTCGCTCCCAAGCATTCCCACCCTAATTCCTCATTCAAATTTACTTGCTGTTAACCATGGGGAAATGAGGTGTGGTACTTAACTTTGCAAAGGGGAGGAATGTCTTGTTTCACTTGAGGTATTGCACCCAAATTATTCCAATGACTACACAATCGATGACCTTGTCTTTGGCTTTAGTTTAGTATTGCTTGGTTATACAAAGAATTCTCTTCCATTCAGCCAGCCTTTCCTGAGTAACCTGGAGAAGGGCATGCAGGGAGTTGTCATTGAAATATTGGGCCCAACAAGACTTTGTTTCTACCATGCTGATAAGCGATTTTCTACCTTAATTTCCTCGTGAGGGTGCTGTGGATCATTGTGGGGAATCAAAGGCTTTTGGATATTGCAGAGGTGGGGGTGGTTGAAAACCCCTGGATGTAGTGGAGGAGGAGGGAGGGTTCTGATGTCTCTTTATCCTGGATTTTGGCTGGCCTTAGACTTCTCAGGATGCTTCACAAGGTGATCACTGAGGTAAAGACCATTCAAATCAATATTTGGAGTACACCATTGTGAGTACTTTGCCAAACATTTCCAACTTCTATTGTCTTCAGCAAACTTGTAAAGATTTTTTTTAGGACAACACAGTAGCTCAGTGGTTAGCACTGCTGCCTCACAGTGCCAGGGGCCTGGGTTCAATTCCAGCCTCAGGCAACTGCCTGTGTGGAGTTTGCACATTCTCTCCGTGTCTGCGTGGGTTTCCTCTGGGTGCTCCGGTTTCCTCCCACAGACCAAAGATGTGCAGGTTAGGTGGATTGGCCATGCTAAATTGCCTGTAGTGTTCAGGGATGTGTAGATTAAGTGGGTTATAGGGGGGATGGGTCTGGGTGGGATGCTCTGATGGTAGGTGTGGACTTGTTGGGCCAAAGGGCCTGTTTCCACACTGTAGGGATTCTAAGAGATGCCTCAGGCTTGCATCATTCCCATCTACCTTCTCAAGGACTAACAATAGAAATGTTTTTCTTGAATATTTACAAAATCAAAGTCCATGCTGCATCTTTAGTGAACATCTTTTCCTGTGTGTTTGTTTTGCATGAATATTTTGCAGAAGTGCTGATACGACATTTAAATGGCTGAAACCACCTATCTGAGGATGAGAGAGAGACGGGATGATTTCTCATTTTTCCTATCTCTCAGCAAACTGCAACCAGATGTGCAAAAGTTTGACCTTGTGTCTCGAGCTTGAACAGACACAAAATAGGCTGTTTCATAAGTTTAAGTTAAATGGTAAAATAACCTTCATTTTTTCTGCATCCACAAGTGCAACAACGTTTGGGCTTTTCCAATCAAAGTTGTGGTCATCTTGCCCCGGATCCCATCTTGTCAGGGTGAATTGTCGATATTCCATACATCCTTTCAAAGTAAAATTGCCCATCTTCTTCATATGTTCATGTGCAAATGCTGCAGGTGTAACAATGACCATGATTTAAATTACAGAGAAACCAAATCAGTTTTGTTACAGGCTATTATTATTATTATTATTATTACCCTTTTATTAGTCACTTCAAAAATACTTCAAAGGCTGTAAAACATTTTGGGATTATCAATGGTCATGAAATGTGCCATGTAAGTGCAATTTTATTCTTTCATTTTTGTTTTTTTTCTGCTTTATATATTAAAAAAGCATTAGATCATGCATTAAATTTAAAATCATTAGGTCAATATAACCTATGATTATTAACCATTGCATTTCATTCAGTGTTTCATTCTTTTTCAGAACACTTCAAATATATATTCCAATCAAACATTTCTTCTACAACATTATCCATCCGGAGTATAGTGCAGTAACAGATGTCTACGTGTTGATGTTCTTGGCTGATGTTGTAGACTTCATTGTTATTGTCTTTGGTTTTGGGGCATTTGGGGTACGTAAACGTGTTTTGTTTTATTTTAAAGAATGCTTGACATCATCTGAATTAATTTTGGTTAAATTTCTGTAGATTTTCCAATCTCCCATCAAAACTGATGTCTGTCCAAGATTGTCGCTGATCTTTGACCAAAATTTCAGTAGAAGATCAGCATGAACTCCCACCCAACCAACAAAAAACTCAATTTTCTTTCCAAATCTATTTGCAGCATGTATTTGATTTTAAAATATTGTGGACTGCTGTATATTCAGTAGAATGCCTCCAAAGGATAATTTGATTTTAATGACTTTCTGGAGGTGTGCCCAGGTTTGAGTTGGTTCCTATCTGTACAGAGTCTGCTCTATCATACAGTAAGGTTATGGCAAATCTTCCACCTCAATTTCATCTTCCTGCACTCTCCCCACATCCCTTAATTATCTCAATACTCAAAAATCTAGGATGGAGAAATCTGAGGATTCATAACCGTTTGAGTGAAAGCATTTCTGCTCATCTTGATCCTGAATGCTGACCCTTTATTCTAAGACTATCATTCTGTCTTCTAGATATCATAGTCTTAGAATGACGGGTTAGCCAGTCGGGAGAAATGTTATTTTATCAAATTCTGTCAAATCTCTTTTGAATTTTATATATTTCTAATCAATCACCTGTCACCTTTAGGAAATATATGCCTAGTCAATTTCTCCTCATAGGACAATCCTGTAATCTCGGGCACCATTCTAGTGAAGCTTTGTTGTGCTCCCTGTAGAGGATATTATCTACCATTAGGTGAGGAAATCAATACTACACACAGTATTCCTGTAAAATTTCAGTAAGGTTTAAATGTTTTAAATTCTCCCTTACTCTGACACTTACTATTTTCTTTCCTAATTTTATGTGTCCATCCCAGTATTTTGTACAGCCTGGTATTCTAATAGTCTTGCTGGGTTCCAATATCCCTGTAGAGATAGTTAAAAGTCTCCTCAAAAGCACCGACAAATCGTCCACAAGGAATTCCATCCTGGTTCCATTCAAATTCAACCTGTTCAGCTCATACGGGTGCTGTTTGCTTCAGAGCCAGTCCTAGTGTCCCTAGGAATCTAAAGTCCTCACTCATGCACCATTTTTGAAATCATGCATTCATCTGTGTTCTCTTTTTCTGTACTCACTTCTGCATGTCATCAGGAGTAATCCAGGAATTACTACATTTGAGTCCCGTTAGCTGATCTTCTATCTAGCTTCCTAAATTCTCATGACAGGACCACATCCCTCATTGTACTTACATCTTTGCTGCCAACACGGATCTAAGGGTTCTAGCAAATACTAACTTTGACTAGAACACTGTTTTGTGGGACCTGATAGAAAGGGCCAAAAAGCACTCTTGTCTCTCTTCAGTGACAGTAAAAGCTCAATAGAGATTAATATATTGCCATATTAGATCCATGTCCAAATAGATTTCCATTTTGGTTCAGATTCCTGATCCTGTAATACAAAGACTTTCTTTGCTTCATGTGCATGAAACGGGACCAAGTTACCATGTAGATTTATAGCAAAATGAATATGAGAAAGAAGTCCCTCACCTGCTGTGATCTGTGGATTCCATCCACGAGGCAATGCAGAGACCAGCTTGGCATCTATTAGATCTTGTTGTCAGGGTATATTTTACACTACATGGTTGAAACATTTGGTTATGAGTACGCTTGATTAATATTACTGGATTTGGAGTGTGGTAAATCAAGCCACAAATTGTCCTTCATACATGTGTATGTAACTAATGAAGAAACTAAGAATTGGGAGAGCTGCAAATGAATAACAATACCTTGATATTGGGTTAATGGGTTACTCACGAGGGATTTCCGGTTCTATTCCACCTGGCAAGGACTAAAAACCAAACATTAATAGAGGTCTGATGCCCACTTAGGCTGTCAATGATATCTTGGAGACAAATTGGCTTTAGGTCAGCATTGTAAATTAAAATTGAGCTTATTATCTGTTGCAGTTTTTGTCGACTAAGCACATAATAGAACCAAGTAGTCAATTGTTTAGGATGTTGTCATTGACCAGAGGTGGGATTCCTCAGCAAAGTGCTAGATAAGCTTCCAGTCGACTAAGTATAGTATTTAAACAGTTTGAAACTTCAACTACTGAGTAGCTATGTATTAGATGCAAAGTCCAGCAATTGCCCAATATATACTTGGAGCCCTGAATACTTGGTTCATACTTAATAAATTTCAGCCTAGTTAGTTATGATATTTTTCCATGAAGCGTGTGAAGTTTATGCTGAAAAAGAAAAATACTTTATACGTGGATTTCTCAAAAGCTTATTTGAAAGGCCCAAAGTCCCAGAGAACCAGTTCTTCAGGAAATATTGCACAGATGAAGACAATAGATCAATTATGACTGTTTTGTCTTCTACAGAAACATTCAGCAGCCGCCGACATCACATCTTCTTTGTCAGAGGATCAAGTGCCAGAGGCATTTCTGGTGATGTTAATAATTCAATTTGGCACAATGGTAGTGGATCGAGCACTCTATCTCAGAAAGACAGTCTTAGGAAAAGTTATCTTTCAAGTCATCCTTGTTTTTGGAATTCATTTCTGGATGTTTTTTATATTACCAAGAGTGACAGAAAGGTAATTTCTTGTTTTACTACAGTTAACTGGAAATTTTATAAGGGGAGAAAGGGTTTAATTTTTGTCGACAAATTATTATGTTATTTAAATGCAGCCTGGTAATTACGTAGAATAGCATAGTCTTTGTTATCACATGCACTCAAATGAGTGCAGTGAAACATTTGTAATGTCACCTTTTGACGCCATCTTAGGTAGAGAGGACCTAGGTTTAGATACTTTTAAGTGTAGTTACAGAGTAAAAGAAAGTGTTGTTACTAAGTAAAAACATATATAGATTAGTATGGGAACAGTTGAAAAAGTCCAGGATGATAATAAATGACAATAAGTACTTCAGTTGCAGTTTGTGCCCACCGATTCCAGAGCATGAGGCCATGTTGCCTCCACGTGCCGGCCTCCACCCAACACTTGCTCCGCCACAGTTCTGGGAATTGGCGGAATTGACAAACATTTTGTATACTCTTCCACTATCACCAATCATTTAAATGCTTATCTTTAAATACTTTGGTGTATTTGTATATATTTGCATGGATCCCTAAAAATAGTTTCCTTTGTTGTTTCCTTTCAGGAGGTTTAACCAGAACAAAGTTGCACAGGTTTGGTACTTTGTTAAATGTGTTTACTTTGGATTGTCAGCATATCAAATACGTTGTGGTTACCCAACACGTGTGCTTGGTAACTTTCTGACAAAAAGCTACAACTATATAAACTTGTTCCTCTTCCAAGGGTAAGGGATTTTCTTCATAAATATGGTAACTCAATTCTTTTACATTTTCAATTTGACTAAATGTTTGCTGAAATCTATAGTTACTTCCTAAGTCCTCCATTGATGGAGTAAAAACTGCATGGACACACAGCTGTCAATATTAGATAATGACCGATTTATAATGAGAAAGACAGAAATTTGTTTAAATGCATGGAGGTACCCGATATTAGTGTGGTACTTGTGCCAATGTATTGCTCATAGAATTAATTAATATTCTGTGTAACTTTAGTTGCATATTGTTCCACAACCACAGACCAATCTCTGGTATCTCATATGAGTAGTCATTTTCTTCATATGTGACCCAAAAGAATAAGGAGTGACAGGCTACTCAATGATGTATTATGTTTCATAAACTCATAAGAAATAGGAGCAGAAGTAAATCATTTGGCCCATTAAGCTTTCTCCACAATTTGATAAGACCAGATTATCTGATTCCCCTAACTTCACCTTCTTATCTGTCCATTATAACCATGACTCCCTTGCCATGTCAAAATCTAACTAACACAGCTTTCACAATATATTGAGTTATTCAGTGTTCACTGCTTTGTGGAAGGTAATTCCAAAGTCTAACAACCTCCCAGAGAAGAAATTCCTCTTCATCTCCATCTTTAATGGTAGCCCAATTAATTTTGAACTGTGCCCCCTCATTCTAGATTTGCACGAGGAGATATACCTATTCAGCATTTACTTTGGATTGTCAGCATATCAATATGTTGTGGTTCCCGAACACGTGTGCTTGGTAACTTTCTGATAAAAAGCTACAACTATATCAGCCTGTCAAGTCCCCTCAGAAGTTCCAAAGAATCCACATTTCATTCTTCCACATTCTAATGAGTATGGGTCCAACCTATTCAGCCTTTCCTTTATCAATATCATGACCCAGCCGATGATAAAATTTGACAATTTCAGATTGGTCAGTGGCTTGAAAGACCATTATTTAATTGCCATGATGGTTGTTCACTGAACATACTCAAAAGATTGCATCATGTTCAGTGCTATACATGAATCCTCAGGTACTGAAGCAGTTCATGTCCAAATGTGGTAAGACATGGATAATATCCAGGTTTGAGCTGACAAGTGGCAATTAATATTCAGGCCACATAACTGCCAGACCAATGACCATCTCTAACAACACAGACTCTAACCATCGCTCCATGAGAATCAATGGTATTACCTTAGAAAAACCCCTCATTATAAACATCCTGGACATTATCTTGACTAGAAACTGAACTGAACGAGCCATATGAATACGATTGCTAAGGGTCCTGCAGCAAATAACTCACCTCTTGACACCTCAAAGCCTGTTCACTATCTACAAGCCACCCTAAGTCAGGAGTACTCCCCAGTTGCCTAGATGAGTACAGCTTCAGCAACAGCTATGAAACTTGACACCATCCAGGACAAAATAGTCCATTTGATACACACCAAATCGACTAATAATTGCTCCTTCCACCAGTGGCGCACTGAAAAAGCAGTGTGTACAATCTACAAGATGTATTATAGAAATTCATTAAGGCTCCTTCGTCAGCACTTTTTAAATCCATGGCCATCACAATTTAGAGGGACATGGGCAAAGATGTATGGAAACATCATCACCTGTGAGTTTTCTTCAAGCCAATTAACATCTTGATTTGGATATATAGCACCCTTCCTTCAGTGTTGTATGGTCAAAATCCTGAAACTACCCCCCTGACAGCATTGTGGGTGTACCTACACCAAGTGGACTGCAGTGGTACAAGATTTTTAAAATTATTCCTTCATGGGATTTGGGTCTTCCTGGCTACGCCCAAACGCCAGTTAAGAGACATAGAGTCAAAGAGTTATACAGCACGGATATAGGCCCTCCGGTCCAACTCTTCAATGCTGACCAGATATCCTAAACTGATAGAGTCCCATTTGCCAGCATTTATCCTATATCTTTCTAAACCCTTCCTATTCATGTACCCGTCCAGATGCCTTGTAATTATACCCTCGTCCACCACTTCCTCTGGTAGCTTGTTCCAGACATGCACCACCCTCTGCACGAAAAATGTGCCCCTTAGGTCCCCTTTAAAACTTTCCCCTCCCACCTTAAACCTATGCCATCTAGTTTTGGACTCCCCTGCCCTAGGAAAAATACCTTGGCCATTCACCATATCAATGCCCCTCGTGATTTTATAAACCTCTATAAGGTCACCCCTCGACCTCTGACACTCCACGGAAAAAAGACCCAGCCTATTCAGCTTCTCCATATAGCTCAAACTCTCTAACCCTGACAACATCCGTATAATTCTTTTCTGAACCCTTTCAAGTTTAAGAACATCCTTCCTACAGCAGGATGATCAGAATTGAACGCACTATTCTAAAAGTGGCCTTACCAATGTCCTGTACAGCTGCAAAATGACATCCCAAATCTTATACTCAATGCACTGATTAATGAAGGCAAGTGTGCCAAATGCCTTCTTCATCACCCTGACTACCTGCAACTCCACTTTCAAGGAACTATGCAACTGTACCCCTAGGTCTCTTTATTCAACATACTCCCCAAGGCCCTATCATTAACTGTATAAATCCTGCCTTGATTTGTCTTACCAAAACGCAATACCTCACATTTATCTAAATTAAACTCCATCTGTCAACGGAATTGTTGTGGGTCTGGAGTCACTTGTAGACCAGACCAGGTAATGTTGGCAGTTTTCTTCCCTAAAGGACATTAGTGAACTAGATGGGTTTTTTTGGAAACTGGCAATGATTCATGGTCATCATTAGACTCTTAATTCCAGATATTTATTGAATTTAGCTTTCACCATCTGCTATGGTGGGATTCAACACCAGTTCCCCAGAACATTACCTGGGCAACGGATTAACAGTCCAGTCATAATACCAGTGGGCCATCCCACTTCCCCTCAAGGTATCAGTTTACCTTCCAGGGAAGTTAGCAATGGCCAATGTTTGCTGGCTCAAACAGTGAAACCCAGATACAATGAGTAAACAAAAAAAAAATTCATTAATTAACCAGTGCCAGACATCTGTTCAGTTCTGATGTAACTTGGTCTCCCCAGATTTCGACTAGTTCCATTTCTGACTGAGCTCAGAGCAGTGATGGACTGGGTCTGGACAGATACAACTCTTAGTCTCTCCAGTTGGATCTGTATAGAAGACATTTATGCTCATATTTTCATTCTAAAGTGCTGGCGTGAATCTGAAAAGGTAAGAAAAGAAAAATCACTATTAATTAATACTATATTGTGCCACACAAATGCCAAGTAATGACCATCTTCAGAAAAAACTAACCATCTCTCCTTGATGTTCAACGGTGCAATAACAGCAACCTTATTATCCATATGCACTGTTGTAACTCACCTAGGGTGTTTCAACAGCATCTTTCAAACCCATGAGTTATACCACTTAGAAAGACAAAGGCAGCAGATGCATTAGAACACCACCACCTACAAATTCACCTCCAAGACACACACCACACTAACTTGGAACTATTTCAACATTCCTTCACTGTTACTGGGTTAAAATCCTGAAGCTCCCTTCCTCACAGCATGTGTCCCAAGGACTGTAGCAATTCAAAAAGACAGCTCACAACCATCTTTTCCAATGCATTTAGGGATGAACAATAAATGCTGGCCTAACCAGTGATGCTGTCTCCCCTTGAACAAATGGAAAAAAAAAGTGGCAGTCACACTTTTGAGATATTTAATCATTCAATAGTTTTTGAGATCATTCATTAAATTCTTTAGTTCTTTACTGAGTCATTGCAGCACAGTGTTCTGAGGAAGGGTCACTGGACCCAAAACATTAACTCTGTTTTTTCCTTCACAGATGCTGCCAGACCTGCTGAGCTTTTCCAGCAACTTTGTTTTTGTTGTTGTTGTTGTTACGTGGCTCAGTGGTTAGTACTGCTGCCTCACAGCACCAGGGACCTGGGTTTGATTCTCGCCTCCGGTGACTGTGGAGTTTGCATTCTCCCAGTGTCTGTGTAGGTTTCCACCGGGTGCTCCAGTTTCCTCCCAAAGTCCAAAGATGTGCAGGTTAGGTGGATTGGCCATGCTAAATTTGCCCATTGTGTTCAGGGATGTCAGTTAGGTGGGTTACAGAGACAGGTCTGGGTAGGATGCTGTTCAGAGGGCTGGTGTGGACTTGTTGACCCAAAGGGCCTGTGCCCTTACTGTAGGATTCTATGATTATATTGCTCAGAATGTTGCATTGTTTTACATATTTGAATGGTTGCATATTTTTCGTATTTCACATTTGCAGAATAGTCATTGACACAGTGTATATCCTAGCATAGTGCTGTACGTACTTCAGAATTTATGAAGTCATTGAGCAGGGTTGGTGGCTAGCTCATTGAGAGGAGATAAACAACTTTGTAATTCAACAGAATAAGACTAATTTAAAATCTTAAAGGCTATTTTGAATCAATTAATTTATGTTCATGCTTTCTAAATCCTTCTCAGGCAAAATGCATTAGTGTTAAAGAATGGAACTCTTCCTATCTTGAGTTTCCACTATTAGCCTACACATAGATCAGGTATTGTACAGCTGGAGGCAACAGACAGCTCCAACAACAAGGCTCAATCGACTTGAATACTTTTGTTTTTACTCTTTATCTCCTACACCAACCGTCCAGGGTCCTCTGTGAATATGACCGATAGCTAATTAATGCTGAGTTGTCAAGAGTTTTTAGAAGTTTCCACCTATGTTAAAAACTGAGCATGATTGGCTGCTCAAGGTTTTGCAATAACAGTGTCATCTGACTTGGATTTGCATGGGCAATTTATGGCAGGTGCAGGTTCATTTTGAAAGGGTTGCAAAATTTCTTGTTTAATGGTCTGCTTTTGTTGGGTTTCATTACAGCGATATCCTCAGCCACGTGGGCAGAAGAAAAAGAAGGTTGTAAAGTATGGCATGGGTGGCCTTATCGTCTTCTTGTTAATATGCATTGTGTGGTTCCCACTCCTCTTCATGTCCTTGATCAAATCTGTTGCTGGTGTGACAAATAAACCTTTGGATGTATCCATTTCAATAACAATTGGAGGTTATCAGGTAAAACAATTGCTGTAAGCTTTTTAACACACGTTGAAGTCAACAGAAATATCAAGGCTGTCATTTTCACAGTTTATGTTAAAGAATGGTCACGAGTGAGCTTTATGGCTTTACTTTCACCATGGTCTAGAGTGAAATATCCTATGCAATCATATACTTCTCACCTCATTATTTATTCAAGAAAGACATGGTTAGTGAAATGGAAGTACACACCACTCCTGGGACCTTTTGGCTTCCAAAGCTCTTGCACCATGTTTAAAAACCCAGAAAGACACCACTTTGGATAGATCAAGGAAAACCCTGAAGCTTTCTATAGGTATGTCAGGAATAAAAGAATGACTAGAGTAAGATTGGGGCCAGTCAAGGACAGTAGTGGGAAGTTGTGCGTGGAGTCCGAAGAGATAGTAGAGGTGCTAAATGAATATTTTTCGTCAGTATTCGCACAGGAAAAAGACAATGTAGTCGAGGAGAATACTGAGATACAGTCTATTAGACTAGACGGGATTGAGGTTCATAAGGAGGAGGTGTTAGCAATTCTGGAAGGTGTGAAAATAGATAAGTCCCCTGGGCCGGATGGGATTTATCCTAGGATTCTCTGGGAAGCTAGAGAGGAGATTGCAGAGCCTTTGGCTTTGATCTTTATGTCGTCATTGTCTTCAGGAATAGTGCCAGAAGACTGGAGGATAGCAAATGTTGTCCCCTTGTTCAAGAAGGGGAGTAGAGACAACCCTGGTATTTATAGACCAGTGAGCCTTACTTCGGTTGTGAGTAAAGTGTTGGAAAGGATTATAAGAGATAGGATTTATAATCATCTAGAAAGGAATAATTTGATTAGGGATAGTCAACACGGTTTTGTGAAGGGTAGGTCGTGCCTCACAAACCTTATTGAGTTCTTTGAGAAGGTGACCAAACAGGTGGATGAGGGTAAAGCGGTTGATGTGGTGTATATGGATTTCAGTAAAGCGTTTGATAAGGTTCCTCATGGTAGGCTGTTGCAGAAAATACGGAGGCATGGGATTGAGGGTGATTTAGCGGTTTGGATCAGAAATTGGCTAACTGTAAGAAGACAGAGGGTGGTGGTTGATGGGAAATGCTCATCCTGGAGTTCAGTTACTAGTGGTGTACCACAAGGATCTGTTTTGGGGCCACTGCTGTTTGTCATTTTTATAAATGACCTGGATGAGGGCGTAGAAGGATGGGTTATTAAATTTGCGGATGACACCAAAGTCGGTGGAGTTGTGGATAGTGCGGAAGGATGTTGCAGGTTACAGAGGGACATAGATAAGCTGCAGAGCTGGGCTGAGAGGTGGCAAATGGAGTTTAATGCGGAAAAGTGTGAGGTGATTCACTTTGGAAGGAGTAACAGGAATACGGAGTACTGGGCTAATGGTAAGATTCTTGGTAGTGTGGATGCGCAGAAAGATCTCGGTGTCCATGTGCATAGATCACTGAAAGTTGCCACCCAGGTTGATAGCGTTGTTAAGAAGGCGTACAGTATGTTACGTTTTATTGGTAGAGGGATTGAGTTTCGGAGCCATGAGATCATGTTGCAGCTGTACAAAACTCTGGTGCGGCCGCACTTGGAGTATTGCGTACAGTTCTGGTCACCACATTGTAGGAAGGATGTGGAAGCATTGGAAAGGGTGCAGAGGAGATTTACCAGGATGTTGCCTGGTATGGAGGGAAGGTCTTATGAGGAAAGGCTGAGGG